TAGGCCTGAAGGCTCTGTGCTGTCACGCGCTGGGCCTATAGCAATTGGCTTTTGAACAGGACGTGCTCTTTGTGCCCAGCGGGAAGCTGGGGTGCCTCAGCTGAGAGGCTGTAAGGATTTTCCTATACAAAAGTCTTTAGGAGCTTAAAAAGTTTAACAAAGTTCTTTATTATTGCTTAGGTCTTCAACAATCAAATACTTTTTAGATCTTCAACAAGTCAAATAAATGCTTCTTATCTTGCCCACAAAGGACAGGTAACTGGCTTTGTGAACTGTTTCTTTTCTTTAAGAGGAAAATCCTTTTTAACCACTCCCTGGGCAATCTGTTTTCTAGGCTCTGCTGGTGTGGGCCCTACTGGTTACCTGAGTAGACCTACCAGCCAAGACTTTGTAGATTTTCCAGTTGGAGTCCTTCTGGAAATTTTTCCACGAATGATGTGGAGCTGTTTCTTTAACCCCAACAAGGGTTGTGCTATCAAACTGTCTTCCTTAGAAGCTTTAGGGCTGTTTCTCCCGGATGTTGTGAGAAACGAAGCTTCTCTACAGATGGGGAAAGCTCACGTCCTGTAACTGGGCTTCCAAAACTGTAAGACTGCCTGAAGTCTTTATTTTCCCTCCCTGAGCCCTGGGGAAAGGGGCGGAACCAAAACTTAAGGATGATAGGCAGGTGGCTAGCCCTATGACTGCAAACCAAAGATGCCACCTTATTGCAAAATGCAGGGAACTTTGGAATACATGCAAACACTCAAAGAAAGAAAAGGAAGTTGGAATTCCTGGTATAGCCGTACCAGCACAGGCTCGCTTACTTACTTAGGCGAACCCTCGTTGTCCAAGTAGGATTGTCTTCCAAGATCGATGTACTGGCGGTGGGTACGTAGCTGACTGTGGAGCCCTATTCTTGAACTGCATGTTCTCCCGCGGTCCCAATCAGGGTTGGCTTGACACGCCTTCCTCTTGACACGTTTCTCTTTTCTGCCCTCCATTCATACTTCTTCAAATTCTACAGCACTGCTGGTCACAGCTGACTTCCAACTAGAGCACTCAAGGGCAAGGGCTTCCCAGTTCTCAGTGTCTATGCCAGAGTTTTTAAGGTTGGCTTTGAGCCCATCTTTAATTAACTGTAGGAGTTACTTCTTTCATAATGGTTATAATTAAATTACTTCTCACAAGTAAAGTAATAATGTCTTTACTTTTGGCTGTGCCAGGAATGTTTGTCCTCTTGGACATATCTGAGAAGTTCAATGCATTTTAAAAACATATTGAGTAGAATTTTTAAAAGATTTTATACCATTACTAGCCGTCCCCTGCCATGTGTTGCTGTGGCCCAGTCTGGTGATCTGGAAAATAAAGTAATGGTTTCTAATCTATGTAATGTCTTTCTGCTTGTGAGTAAACAGTATTTCTTGTTGTTTCTTTGTCAGTGTTGATGTGGAGAGTGTCTGGTTTGCTCACTCTGGAACATGCAACATATCATAGTCCTTCTTTAGGGGTCCCTTTCAGATCTATGATACTATATCTCTGTGTGTGTGAATCATATATGTCTATGGCTGGATGGATCTTTGTCAGGAGGGCTTTGATTACATTTTCTTGCCCTGGTGAAGAGAGTTGGACTGGATGGCCTTAAGTATTTTCTGTTGGTCATGGGGGTTCTGTGTGGGAAGTTTGCCCCGATTCTGTTGTTCGTGGGGTTCAGAATTCTCTTTGATTGTAGGTGAACTGTGAATCCCAGTGACCACAACTCTCAAATGTTAAGGTCTATTTTCCCCAAACACCATCATATTTGGGCGTATTGAGTGCTTGTGCCAAGTTTGGTCCAGATCCATCATTGTTTGAGTCCACAGTGCTCTCTGGATGTAGGTGAACTACAACTCCCAAACACAAGGTCAATGCCCACCAAACACTTCTAGTGTTTTCTGTTGGTCATGGGAGTCCTGTGTGCCACGTTTTGTTCAATTCCATCGTTGGTGGAGTTCAGAATGCTCTTTGATTGTTGGTGAACTATAAATCCCAGCAACTACAACTCCCAAATGACAAAATCAATTGTTTTTAATGAAGGACATACATTGGGTTGTTAGGTGTATCATGTCCAAATTTGGTGCCAATTGCCCCAGTGGTTTTTGAGTTCTGTTAATCCCACAAACGAACATTACATTTTTATTTATATAGATTGTATCAACCTTATAATTTAACAAAAGAAAAGTAAGGAGTAACATAAAGGTGATCGTTTGAAGTGCAGTATATTGGTTAGTGTTGACTCATATAATGCAGATTGACCTGCATTGAACCGGATCTTGTGAGTACACACTGCCATGTAATCCAGTTCAATGCAGTTAATCTGCATTCTGAAACCGGATTATATGGCAGTGTAGGTGGAGGTCTCAATCTCTCATAGTTCAAGTAATCCAAGGGATTGATACTATTTGATCCATAAAAGCGGGGAAAGGAGTGACTATTTATTTATTTTTTTCTCTTTTTATTCTCATTGGTAAGACTTGGCACTTTCAAGCATGATGCAGCCAGGACTTAGAAGCAGGACTTAGAGTTTGGTATATATTTATAAATTAACTTATATTCTGCCCTTCTGGTACCTCTATATCACTCAGAGTAGATAAAAAAACAATTTAAACCAGTAGAATACTTTTTTCTCCCTTTCGACTTTCTCTCTTTTTAATTTGTTCCCAAATTCCTCTTAGAATTAACCAATTTATCCCGCCCCCTAATGTTTCCAATTGTTTCCATTCCAATAATTCCTTATTTTCATTATATAAATCTTTAATTTTACTATATCCCGTCTGTTTCAGTTTTTTTATGATGCTCTTGTCCTCCTCATTTCTTACACTACCTATAGGAGCTTCCTTTGATAAATATGGCATCCATTTCTCTTTCCATTTCCCCCATATTTTTAATGCTATTTTCCTTGGGCCTATTGTTTGTTTGTTTTTTGTATTCCTTCCTTCTGGAGTATCCCTCATTAAGTGAAAGTTAATGAGAGATACTCCAGAGTAATAGACATTGAAAGAGGGGTAAAACATGGATGCCCATTATCACCAATGTTATTCACAATAGCTATAGAATATCTGGCGGACAGAATTAGAAATAATGGTAGAATAACAGGATTTAGGATGGGGAAGGAAGTGAAAGTGAACCTGTTCTAGAGGCATTTCTCCTGACGTTTCGCCTGCATCTATGGCAAGCATCCTCAGAGGTAGTGCTTGCCATAGATGCAGGCGAAACGTCAGGAGAAATGCCTCTAGAACATGGCCCTATAGCCCGAAAAGACCTACAAGAACCTAGTGATTCCAGCCATGAAAGCCTTCGACAATACATTGAAAGTGAACCTGTTTGCGGATGATTTCTTAATAATAACAGAAAATCCACTGGATACATTGAAGGAATTAGAAGTAATATTGGAAGATTTTTATAACATCTCAGGATTAAGGATTAATATGACAAAATCAGAGCTGTTGGGGTTTAACCTGGGGAACGGAATCCAAGAAGATATTCGGAAAAGGAAAGATATACAGATTGTAAAAAATAAAATAAAATATTTGGGAATTTACTTAACTAATAAGTCAATGAGGATCTGGGATTATAATTATAAGAAAACATGGGAAAAGGTACAGGCACAAATGAATAATTGGAATGATCAAAAATTAAGTATTTCAGTGAGAATTAGAGCAATTAAAATGTGCATCCTCCCTAAATTATTGTACCTACCGCTGGAGATTAAACAACAAAAATTTAAAAAATGGGATGGAGAAATAAGAAAGTGGATATTTGGAGGGAAAAAGTCAAGAATAAGTAATAAGGAACTATATATGTCAAATAAAGAATTAGGATGGGGAATACTAAAGTTACAAGAATACTATGAAGCATTTCAACTGAAAGCAATTCTGGAATTGCTGGGGACAAGCAAGAGAAGTGGATAAGAATAGAGAATGAAGCAAATAAAGGTCAAGGAGACTATGGGATCTTTACAAATAATGTAAACCAGTAGAATACAACAAAATCTGTGACCAACAACAGACAAAGGAGATTTTTAAAAACCAAATAAAGTTCGCCAAAGCAAACACTTACCAAAACAGGATGTTATTCTTCATACAAAAAGATCTTGGAGTCCTCGTGGACAACAAGTTAAACATGAGCCAGGAATGTGATGTGGCGGCAAAAAAAGCCAATGGGATTTTGGCCTGCATCAATAGGAGCATAGTGTCTAGATCTAAGGAAGTAATGCTACCCCTCTATTCTGCTTTGGTTAGACCACATCTGGAATATTGTGTCCAATTCTGGGCACCACAATTCAAGCGAGATATTGACAAGCTGGAATGTGTCCAGAGGAGGGCGACTAAAATGATCAAGGGTCTGGAGAACAAGCCCTATGAGGAGCGGCTTAGGGAACTGGGCATGTTTAGCCTGAAGAAGAGAAGGCTGAGAGGAGATATGATAGCCATGTATAAATATGTGAGAGGAAGCCACAGGGAGGAGGGAGCAAGCTTGTTTTCTACTTCCTTGGAGACTAGGACGCGGAACAATGGCTTCAAACTACAAGAGAGGAGATTCCATCTGAACATGAGGAAGAACTTCCTGACTGTGAGAGCGTTCAGCAGTGGAACTCTCTGCCCCAGAGTGTGGTGGAGGCTCCTTCTTTGGAAGCTTTTAATCAGAGGCTGGATGGCCATCTGTCAGGGGTGATTTGAAAGCAGGGGTGATTTGAATGCAATATTCCTGCTTCTTGGCAGGGGGTTGGACTGGATGGCCCATGAGGTCTCTTCCAACTCTTTGATTCTATGATTCTATGATACTTAGGAATAACCTTTGTTATCTAGTGTCTTTATGTAAAATTATACTTCATTACTTTTGTGTATAACATAAGATGAACTTGCTCATGTATAAAGGTTAGGTGTTTTTGACTATAAACAACCAAGGATTGAGGAAGATGATTTTCTCCCCTAATGATGATTTCCTCCCTCTTTTCTGTTTTTTAATTGATTTCATTCTAGTACTGTTCCACTGAGCAAGCTTCTGCAGGTACAGACGCGGAACACGTACAGCAGTTCTATAATATTCTTACTGCCTCCATTGACATATCCAGAAGCTGGGCAGAAAAAATTCCAGGATTTACGGATCTCCCAAAGGAAGATCAAACTCTTCTCATAGAATCAGCTTTTTTGGAGCTTCTTGTTTTGAGACTGTCAATCAGGTAAATTTATTTATTTATTTACGGTATTTCTATCCCGCCTTTCTCAGCCCGAAGGTGACTCAAAGCGGCTTACAAATTGGCAGCAATTTGATGCCTCAACAGTCATAAAATACAATTAAAAAACACAACATTATAAAAATCCATATAAAATAACCATTAAAACATATAATCACCTGTTAAACTCATTTTTCCAGTAGCGTCGTCTAGTTGTTCCATGTTCATTCTTTCATAGTTCCATGTTTATCTATTACACTGCATTTCCAAAAGCTTGTTCGAAGAGCCGGATTTTTACTTTTTTTTTTTTTGGAAAGTCAGGAGGAAGAGGGCCAATCTAATATCCCTAGGGAGGGAGTTCCACAGCTGAGGGGCCACCATTGAGAAGGTCCTGTGTTTCATCCCCGCCAGTCGCGCCTATGAAGAAGGCGGGATCGAGAGCAGGGCCTTCCCAGATGATCTAAAGTTCCTAAATCTGCAATTTAACTCTGAAATGATCGTTGTTTTGTAATATTTTCACGAACACTGATATTTCCCAAACTACATTTAAAAAGAATTTATGACACCTCAGACCTGTTAAGATTCTTTGCTTCGAAACAACTGAAATCTCTAACATCTTGACTTGTTTACACTCAAGGGTTTAATGAAGTGAAATATGAAGGTGGAGCACATCCCGCTGTGTAATTATTAGTCTTGATTCACCCCACCCCTGCCTTTCATAATGATTTTGTGAAAAGCGGGGAGATACCTGTATTAGTTACGCTGAATAGAAATAAGTGGGCAAAGTGAAATTTCATGGAAACAAATAGTGAACAAACCCATAAGAAGATGAACTCTCTACAAATAGTAATTCAGATGGTTAATGTACTCATCTGTTACCATTTTACAATGCACTAGTTGTACCCGCCACGCGTTGCTGTGGCCAACCTTCCCTCTTTCTCTCCTTCTTTCCCTCTTTCCTTCCTCCTCTTCCTTCCTCTTTCCTTTCCCTCTTCTTCTTTCCTTCTCTATCTCTTTCCTTCCTTCCCCCTTTTTTTTCTCTTCTGCTGTCTCTCTTTTCTTCCTTCTCTCTTTCCTTCTTCCTTCCCTCCTTCCTTCTTTCCCTTTTTCTTTCCTCTCTCTTTCTCCTTTCTCCTTCTCTCTTTTCCTTTTCCCCCTTTTTCTTCTCTTCTGCAGTCTCTCTTTTCTTCCTTCTCTCTTTCCATCTTTCCTTCCCTCCCTCTTTCTCTCCTTCTTTCCCCTTTTTCTTTCCTTCCTCTTTCCCTTCCTTCTTCCCTCTTTCTCTACATCTTCCCCCTTTTTTCTTTCCTTCTCTCCTTTCTTCCTTCTCTCCTTCCTTCCTTCCCCCTTTTTCTTTCTCTTCTGCTGTCTCTCTTTTCTTCCTTCTCTCTTTCCTTCCCTCCCTCTTTCTCTACATCTTCCCCCCTTCCCCTTTCCTTCACTTCCTCTTTCCCTTTTTTCTTTCCTTCTCTCCTTCCTTCCTTTTCTAACTTTCCTTCCTCCCCCCTTTTTCTTTCTCTCCCTCTTTCTCTCCTTCCTTCCTTCTCTACCTCTTTCCTTCCTTCTCTCTTTGCTTCCATGTTTCCTTCTCCCTTTCCTTTCCTTCTTTCTTTCTTTCTTTCTTTCTTTCTTTCTTTCTTTCTTTCCCTCCTTCTTTCTTTCTTTTCTCCCTTTCTTCCCTTTTTTCTGTATTGTCATTTAGCTTTTCATCAGTTAGCTTTTTGGGGCTTTTTAAAGTCCCTTCTGCTGTGTTTTTCAGTGTTTTTATGAGTGAAGGACATACATTGGGTTGTTAGGTGTATCGTGTCCAAATTTGGTGTCAATTCATCCAGGGGTTTTTGAGTTCTGCGAATACCACAAACGAACATTACATTTTTATTTATATAGATTTGGGGAAGTTCCTTGATGGAACCTCCTGTAGTGTACAGTAGAACCCCGGTTATCCGAGCTCCGCTCATCCGACACTCTGTATTATCCGACGCCATCATGTGGCCGATTGGGAAATTGCACCCTTTGATATGTGTTCATGAGAGCGGATGGCTTTCTTTCCCATGTACAAAAACTGGGAGGAGAAGGAGGAGGAAAGCGCATCTCCAAAGGGAAGGGAGGGAATGGGGGTGAATCAAAAGAGAAAGAGGGATGGGAAGGTAAAAAGAAGAAGGGAGGGAGGAGGGAAAAAGGAAACGCAATGGCTCTCCTTCTCTCATTCATTGCTCTTTGTGCATGCAGAGCTTTGCTCTCCTGCTTTGGAGACTTCTGACCAACCCAGCCTTATTTCCAAATCGAGGGGGAGAAAGATAGCTAGATCGAAGGAAAACAAGAGGCATAGAATCCTAAAATTGCAAGAGACACCCTCCTTTAAGAGGCTATCCAGTCCATCCCCATTCTGCTAGGCTGGAAGGCACAAGCCAAGCCCTCCCAACACAGAGCCACCCAGCTCCAGATGAGATTCTGCAGACAGTTTTCTAGTGTTGCCATTCTTCTATGCTCAATATGAGATTTTAGAGATGATTAATCTACAGCAGGGGTCTTCAAACTAAGGCCCGGGGGCCGGATACGGCCCTCCAAGGTCATTTACCCGGCCCTCGCTCAGGGTCAACCTAAGTCTGAAATGGCTTGAAAGCACAAAACAACAACAACAATCCTATCTCATCAGCCAAAAGCAGGCCCACACTTCCCATTGAAATACTAATAAGTTTATATTTGTTAAAATTGTTCTTCGTTTTAATTATTGTATTGTTTTAAGTGGGTTTTTTGCACTACAAATAAGATATCTGCAGTGTGCATAGGAATTCAGTCATGTTTTTTTCAAATTATTATCCCGCCCTCCAACAGTTTGAGGGACTGTGACCTGGCCCTCTCTTTAAAAAGTTTGTGGACCCTTGCTCTAGGTGCTCTTACTGCCTATTACAGGGAAAACCAGATGATCCCTAACCCATCTAAAACACAGACATGTGCTTTTCATCTCAAGAACAGACAAGCATCCTGAGATCTGAGGATCACCTGGGAAGGAATCCCACTGGAGCATTGCAGCGCACCCAAATACCTGGAAGTCACTCTGGACCATGCTCTTACCAACAAGAAGCACTGTCTGAACATCAAGCAGAGCTAGATACTATATCGTACGATAGCTGACTGGCACAACCTGGGGATTACAACCAGACACAGTGGAGACATCTGCCCTTGCGCTATGCTACTCTGCTGCTGAGTATGCATTCCCGGTGTGGAACACATCTCATCACGCTAAAACAGTAGATGTAGCGCTTAATGCGACATGCCACATGATGGTGCCATTACTGCTCAAGCAGGGAGCTTTGAGATGGTTGAATAGAAGCTCTCCAAAGCTCTAGGTGCTCTTACTGCTTACTACAGAGAAAACCAGCTGATCCCTAACCCATCTAAAACACAGACATGTGCTTTTCATCTCAAGAACAGACAACCATCCCGAGCTCTGAGGATCACCTGGGAAGGAATCCCACTGGAGCATTGCAGCGCACCCAAATACCTGGGAGTCACTCTGGACTGTGCTCTTACCAAAAAGAAGCACTGCCTGAACATCAAGCACAGCTAGAAACAATATCATACGATAGCTGACTGGCACAACCTGGGGATCACAACCAGACACAGAGAAGGCATCTGCCCTTGCACTATGCTACTCTGCTGCTGAGTATGCATTCCCGGTGTAGAACACATCTCATCACGCTAAAACAGTAGATGTGGCTCTTAATGAGACATGCCACATTATCACGGGGTGTCTGTGCCCTACACCACTGAAGAAATTACACTGCTTAGCCGGTATTGCACCACCTGACATTCGCCGGGAAGTAGCAGCCAATAGTGAAAGGACCAAGGCAGAGACATCTCCAGCTCATCCCCTGTTTGGGTATCAGCTAGCACGTCAATGATTTAAATCTAGAAATAGTTTTCTAAGATCTACAGAGACACTCGCTGGAACACCTCAGCAAACGAGATTCCAAAAGTGGCAGGCTCAAACCCAGAACCTCAACCAATGGCTGATACCAAATGAGAGACTCCCCCCTGGGCACACAAAAGACTGGGCGACTTGGAAGGCGCTGAACAGACTGTGCTCTGGCACCACGAGATGCAGAGCCAACCTCTAGATATAGGGCCACAAAGTGGAATCCACGACATGCGAGTGTGGAGAAGAGCAAACCATTGACCACCTGCTGCAATGCACCTTGAGCTCTGCCACATACACAATGGAGGACCTTCTTGCAGCAACACCAGAGGCACTCCAAGTGGCCAGATACTGGTCAAAGGACATTTAATCAACTACCAAACTTGCAAATTTTGTGTTTTGTCTGTTTGTTTTGTTTTGTTAGAAATGTAATACAATTGACTGGTTGCGCTGACACGACAAATAAATAAATAAAAACCTCTAATTTTGTAGACAAGTGTTAAGGATGCACTGTCTCTCTTCACTAGTTTCAAAAACAAATGTTTCTGTGTTTTGTGTTTGGGCTGGAGCACATACCTAATAAACTAGAGTAATTTGAACTATTTGGCATGTTTGACCTCAGATGTTTCATTTATTCAATGTATTCTTAGATATGTGTTTACTTCCTCCCTAAAAAAATAGTATATTTCTAAACTTAAGATATATCATACATTCATGGACTTGTGTTGAAATGATAAATGTGTGCTTTTAAGAATATCATATGCCCACCGATTCATAACTTTTATCTCTCACCTTGTTTCTTTTCTTCTCCTTTGAAGATCTGACCCTGCTGAAGATAAATTTGTTTTCTGCAATGGACTTGTGCTTCATCGACTTCAGTGCCTTCGTGGATTTGGGGAGTGGCTCGACTCAATTAAAGACTTTTCCTTAAATTTACAGAGCCTCAACCTTGACATCCCAGCCTTAGCATGCTTATCAGCTCTAAGTCTGATTACAGGTAACAATGATTGGTTCTTTTTTTTAAAAAAAATCTGCCATTGTTTTTACGGATAATAGCACATTTGAGTAAATTTCCATTACGGTGTATATAATAGACTGTGTTATTGTTGAATGCTTATGATAGCTAAATTGAAAATACAAGTTTTTATTTGGAATTCCTCGAGCGCACAGAAGTATAGGGTGGACTCATACTGAGTGTTTCAAAATGAAGTATATTTCACAATGACAACATGTTACAATTACATAAAAAGTTAGAAATCTATATAAATAAAAATGTAATGTTCGTTTGTGGTATTCACAGAACTCAAAAACCACTGGGGCAATTGGCACCAAATTTGGACACGATACACCTAACAACCCAATGTATGTCCTTCACTAAAAAAAATGATTTTGTCATTTGGGAGTTGTAGTTGCTGGGATTTATAGTTCATAGAATCATAGAATCAAAGAGTTGGAAGAGACCTCATGGGCCATCCAGTCCAACCCCCTGCCAAGAAGCAGGAATATTGCATTCAAATCACCCCTGACAGATGGCCATCCAGCCCCTATTTAAAAGTTTCCAAAGAAGGAGCCTCCACCACACTCCGGGGAAGAGACTTCCACTGCTGAACGGCTCTCACAGTCAGGAAGTTCTTCCTCATGTTCAGATGGAATCTCCTATCTTGTAGTTTGAAGCCATTGTTCCGCGTCCTAGTCTCCAGGGAAGCAGAAAACAAGCTTGCTCCCTCCTCCCTGTGGCTTCCTCTCACATATTTATACATGGCTATCATATCTCCTCTCAGCCTTCTCTTCTTCAGGCTAAACATGCCCAGCTCCTTAAGCTGCTCCTCATAGGGCTTGTTCTCCAGACCCTTGATCATTTTAGTCGCCCTCCTCTGGACACATTCCAGCTTGTCAATATCTCTCTTGAATTGTGGTGCCCAGAATTGGACACAATATTCCAGGTTCACCTACAATCAAAGAGCATTCTGAATTCAACCAATGATGGAATTGAACCAAGCATGGTATACAGGACACCCATGACCAACAGAAAACACTAGAAGTGTTTGGTAGGCATTGACCTTGATTTTGGGAGTTGTAGTTCACCTACATCCAGAGAGCACTGATGGATCTGGACCAAACTTGACACGAATACTCAATATGTCCAAATATGAACACAGATGGAGTTTGGGGGAAATAGACCTTGACATTTGGGAGTTGTAGTTACTGGGATTAATAGTTCACCTACAATCAAAGAGCATTCTGAACCCCATGAACAATAGATTTGGAGCAATCTTCCCACACTGAACCCCCATGAGCAACAGAAAATACTTAAGGCCATACAGCCCAACTCGCTTCACCAAGAAAATGTCATCAGAGCCCTCCTGACAAAGAGCCATCCAGCCATAAATATAGATAGATATGATTCACACATACACACTTACAGATATAGTATCATAGTTGTGTTGCCATCTGTTGGCTTTTAGTTGTTTTATATTAATTGAATGTTTTAACTTGTGATTATTGTTGTTATGTATTTTATCTGTTGAATTGTGTGCCTGAAATAAATAAATAAATAAATAAATAAATAAATTATTCTTAATTTTAAAATGTGCTCCAAGGCGGGCAGATGACAACATAGTGCTTTGTATTCTGCAGAAACCATTTTGCCATGCAATGTGGTTTAGATTTAGGGATCGCTGAACAGCAATAAAGGGTTTAACTCAGACTTTCCCCCAACTTTTCTTGATGCACTTTAAAGATCTTAATTTGCGCTGCAGGATACTTTGGTGGTGTGCTTTTTGTAGCCACCATAGTTTGAAATTAGCTAGCTCGCTGGTCAGTGTAAATGTGCCCTCAGATTACTTTAAAATGAGGTTAAAAAGAGGTCAGACATACTGCATCACTGAATATAAATTAGGAGAGGACAGGCTAAATATAGTTTTTTTGCCTGGACTTTACGGGAACTAAGAAGTAGCTGATATGAACCTTAGATTTCAGTTATCATGACTGTTCTTAAGTACTCTTTATTAATACTGATTGATACTATTATTCATCATCCATTTGTTAGAAATTGAATTTTAATATAATCTTTATTGCGAATTTTCTTTTAAAATACAAAGTAATAGAGAAAATAATAACGCACAAAAATACCAAAAAACAAAAAAATCAAAACAAAAGACAAAAAATTAGAAACAACATGAAAAAAGAGAAAAAAACACACAACAGAAAACAGTAAATAAGTAGTTAAAACTAGGAGAGGGATGGTATATCTCTCCTTTATTGACTTCCTGAGTATCTTCCGAGTGGTTTTTCCTCTACTTTCTTTTATCTTGTCTTTTCTTCCATCTTATTTTCTCTTCCTTTTATATTATTGTATTTCCATTCTTCTGTTTCAGATAATTTGTCACTTTTGTCCAATCAGTTTCTCTTATTGGGGTCCCCTTATTTTTTGATATTAAGTATGATAGTCTGTCCATATTTCTAAATAGCTGTCCCCTGCCACGCGTTGCTGTGGCCCAGTCTGGTGATCTGGAAAATAAAGTAATGAGAAAGTGTTGGTTTCTAATATATGTAATTCCTTTATGCTTGTGAGTAAACAGTATTTCTTGTTGTTTCTTTGTCAGTGTTGATGTGGAGAGTGTCTGGTTTGCCTACTCTGGAATATGCAACATATCATAGTCCTTCTTTAAGGGTCTCTTTCAAATCTATGATACTATATCTGTGTGTGAGAGAATCATATCTATCTATCTATATTTATGACTGGATGGCTCTTTGTCAGGAGGGCTCTGATTACATTTTCTTGCCCTGGTGAAGAGAGTTGGACTGGATGGCCTTAAGTATTTTCTGTTGGTCATGGGGGTTCTGTGTGGGAAGTTTGCCCCATTTCTGTCGTTTGTGGGTTTCAGAATGCTCTTTAATTGTAGTGAACTATAAATCCCAGTAACTACAAATCCCAAATGTCAAGGTCTATTTCCTCCAAACTCCATCTGTGTTCATATTTAGGCATATGGAATTTTTTGTGTCAAGTTTGGTCCAGATCCATCATTGTTTGATCCACAGTGCTCTCTGGATGTAGGTGAACTACAACTCCCAAACTCAAGGTCAATGCCCACCAAACCCTTCCAGTGTGTTCTGTTGGTCATGGAAGTCCTGTATGCCATGTTTGGTTCAATTCCATCATTGGTGGAGTTCAGAATGCTCTTTGATTGTAGGTGAACTATAAATCCCAGCAACTACAACTCCCAAATGTCAAGGTCTATTTCCCTTAAACTCCATCTGTATTCATATTTGGGCATATGGAATATTCGTGCCAAGTTTGGTCCAGATCCATCATTGTTTGAGTCCACAGTGCTCTCTGGATGTGGGTGAACTATAATTCCCAAACTCAAGGTCAATGTCCACCAAACCCTTCCAGTGTGTTCTGTTGGTCATGGGAGTCCTGTGTGCCAAGCTTGGTTCAATTCCATTGTTGGTGGAGTTCAAAATGCTCTTTGATTGTAGGTAAACTATAAATCCCAGCTACGACAATTCCCAAATGACAAATCAATATTTTTAGAGTGGAGGACATTAATTGGACTGTTAGGTGTCTTGTGTCCAAATTTGGTGTCAATTCCCCCAGTGGTTTTTGAGTTCTGATGGTAGCACGAACTAACATTACATTTTTATTTATATAGATATATACAATTTTTTCTATCCAATCGCTAACTTCTGGAATCTCTCCTTTTTTCCAAAGTTTTGCGTAGCAGATTCTTGCTGCTGTGTCCAGTAGGAAAAAGAGGTTGTCCATATTTTTTTCTAACTTTTGATCTGTTATCCCTAATAGGAATATCTCTGGTTTGAAAGGTATTCTTATTTTTAATATTTCCTGCAGTGTTTCATGAATTTCCCCCCAATATGTTTTAGACTGAATTAGAAATCTAGAATTTTAGAAGCTTCTTATACAATGAGTATAATGTATAAACACTTTATAAAACACTATGTTACTATGTTCTAACTCTGAAGTATCTGACTTTGTGATTACTTATATCACTAACACTTTAGAGGTTGAGCAGATTGCTGTCCTTCCCAAAAAAACAAAACAAAACACAGAAAATAATCCAAACAGCAAAAGTCACTTGAGACAGTTTTGGATTCTTTTGGTTTCTTAGAAAAGCGTCTGTTAATTCCTGGTGGAATTCCAGCCTTAGCACTGATGGAGCTAGCGGTGGATATTGATCTCCACTTGAATTCACTGAATAAATAATGGTTGCCATAGTTATTGAGCATTCACTGGTTGGGAAGCTGGGAGATCTCCAAAACAGCGTCTGTGACGATTCTGCCATCAAATCTTCCAGTGAAAAGATAAACCTGTAACATCGCATAAATATAGTACATTTAGATTTCTTTTTCTTCCTAGGAAGTAATATAAACATTTTGTTCAATTATTGAACATAAGTGAGGTCTAATATCAGCTGACCTTATTTGCCCCACACTGATAAAAACACACATACCTATATGCACCACACTGTCATGCCCAACTGCGTAGTTTGCTAGTATTCCTCTTAATTTAGAGAGCAGTTACAGTTTAATTGCTGGGTTGTTGTAGGTTTTTTCGGGCTATATGGCCATGTTCTAGAGCCGTGGTTCTCAACGTTCCTAATGCCGCAACCCCTTAATACAGTTCCTCATATTGTGGTGGCCCCCAGCCATTAAATTATTTTCATTGCTACTTCATAATTGTAATTTTGCTACTGTTATGAATCATTGTGTAAATATCTGATATGCAGGATGTATTCTTATTAGAGTGTTATGGGAGGATTGATTTTGTCATTTGGGAGTTGTAGTTGCTGGGATTTATAGTTCACCTACAATCAAAGAGCATTCTGAAATCCACCAACGATGGAACTGAATCAAACTTGGCACACAGAATTCCCATGACCAACAGGAAATACTGGGTTTGGTGGACACTGACCTTGAGTTTTGGGAGTTGTAGTTTACCTACATCCAGAGAGAAGTGTAGACTCAAACAATGATGGATCTGGACCAAATTTGGCACGAATTCTCAGTATACCCAAATAACACTAGTAGAGTTTGGAGGAAATAGACCTTGACATTTGGAAGTTGTAGTTGCTGGGATTTATAGTTCACCTACAATCAAAGAGCATTCTGAACTCCACCAACGATGGAACTGAATCAAACTTGGCACACAGAATTCCCATGACCAACAGAAAATACTGGAAGGGTTTGGTGGGCACTGACCTTGAGTTTTGGGAGTTGTAGTTTACCTACATCCAGAGATAACTGTAGACTCAAACAATGATGGATCTGGACCAAACTTGGCACAAATTCTCAGTACACCCAGTTGTAAACACTAGTAGAGTTTGGAGGAAATAGACCTTGACATTTGGGAGTTGTAGTTGCTGGGATTTATAGTTCACCTACAATCAAAGAGCATTCTGAACTCCACCAACGATGGAACCGAATCAAACTTGGCACACAGAATTCCCATGACCAACAAAAAATACTGGAAGGGTTTTGTGGGCACTGACTTTGAGTTTTGGGAGTTGTAGTTTACCTACATCCAGAGAGAACTGTAGACTCAAACAATGATGGATCTGGACCAAACTTGGCACGAATTCTCAGTATACCCAAAGGTAAACACTAGTAGAGTTTGGGGAAAATAGACCTTGACATTTGGGAGTTTTAGTTGGTGGGATTTATAGTTCACCTACAATCAAAGAGCATTCTGAACTCCACCAACGATGGGACTGAATCAAACTTGGCACACAGAATTCCCATGACCAACAGAAAATACTGCAAGGGTTTGGTGGGCACTGACCTTGAGATTTGGGAGTTGTAGTTTACCTACATCCAGAGAGAACTGTAGACTCAAACAATGATGGATCTGGACCAAACTTGGCACGAATTCTCAGTACACCCAGTTGTAAACACTAGTAGAGTTTGGAGGAAATAGACCTTGACATTTGGGAATTGTAGTTGCTGGGATTTATAGTTCACCTACAATCAAAGAGCATTCGAACCCTACCAAGGATTGAATTGGGCCAAACTTCCCACACAGAACCTCCATGAGCAACAAAAAATACTGTGTTTTCTGGTGGTCTTTGGTGACCCTTCTGACACCCCCTCGTGACCCCTCCAGGGGTCCCAACCCCCAGGTTGAGAAACACTGGACTAGAGCTTTCTGACTATTCTACATACACAGGCATGGACAACTGCAAAAACCCAATTTGCATAAATTGAAAGATGTCCAAAATCATAATCAAATGTTTCATTAACTGTTCTGTCGCCGCTGGGCCTGTATCTGGTTGGCTTTAAAACAGGACGTGTAACCTTTGCCCAGCAGGAAGCCAGGGGGCCCAAGGAAAAGTTCTCAGGGGCTTCCTCTACAAAAGAATCTTCAGATGGCTTGAGAAATACAACAAAGTCTTTTATTAATGAAATCAAACACGAACTACAAGGCTTTCTTGATAAAGTATTGGTTCTCTCAATCTTGTCCACAGAGGACAGGCACTATCTTCAATAATGTTTTCTTTAAAGGAAAATTCCCCTTTTTAACTTCTCCCAGGCTGACTAAAATCCAACCCTCACTGATGCGTGCTCCGCTACCGGGCCGAACTGCTTCTCGGACGCCGAGTGGACCTACCAGCAAGGCAGTGGATGTTCTGCTGGAGTTCTTTAGTCTTTAAGTCTGTTTTCCTGGAGTTCTTAAAGCTGTTCTCCCCTGGATTGCGTAAGGCTGTGGAAATGCTTCCCTGGCGATTCTTAAAGGTTGAAGCCTTTGTACAGGGGAAGTTACACACATCCTATACATTGGTTAACCTGGCTGAGACTAACTAACAAAATGGCTCACTTCCCTCCAAAGCCCAAAAAGGGGGCGGGACTAGAGAACCTAATAATAATTGACAAGCAATTGACCCAATAACTGCAAAGTAAGGAAAGCCATCTAACTGCAAAGGCATAGAACTTTAAAATACATGCAGCAACCAACAAATAGCAAGATAAGCGGCTGTACCAGTGAAGGACAGTACGTGTGAAAAAGATCTTGGAGTCCTCGTGGACAACAAGTTAAACATGAGCCAACAATGTGATGTGGCTGCAAAAAAAGCCAATGGGATTTTGGCCTGCATCAATAGGAGCATAGTGTCTAGATCTAAGGAAGTAATGCTACCCCTCTATTCTGCTTTGGTTAGACCACATCTGGAATATTGTGTCCAATTCTGGGCACCACAATTCAAGAGAGATATTGACAAGCTGGAATGTGTCCAGAGGAGGGCGACTAAAATGATCAAGGGTCTGGAGAACAAGCCCTATGAGGAGCAGCTTAAGAAGCTGGGCATGTTTAGCCTGAAGAAGAGAAGGCTGAGAGGAGATATGATAGCCATGTATAATATGTGAGAGGAAGTCATAGGGAGGAGGGAGCAAGCTTGTTTTCTGCTGTCCTGGAGACTAGGACTGGAGCAATGGCTTCAAACTACAAGAAAGGAGATTCCATCTGAACATTAGGAAGAACTTCCTGACTGTGAGAGCTGTTCAGCAGTGGAACTCTCTGCCCCAGAGTGTGGTGGAGGCTCCTTCTTTGGAAGCTTTTAAACAGAGGCTGGATGGCCCTCTGTCAGGGGTGCTTTGAATGCAATATTCCTGCTTCTTGGCAGAATGGGGTTGGACTGGGGTCTCTTTCAACTCTAGGTCTCTTCCAACTCTTTGATTCTAGGATTCTGCACTGAGTTAACATTATGCCAACAGGAATCACTTTTTTTCTATTTTGTAGCATTCCAGCTTGTCCACATAGTATTTTCTTTTGCTGTTTTGCAGAACGACATGGATTAAAAGAACCAAAGAAAGTGCATGAGCTATGCAACAAGATCATGAGCAGCTTGAAAGATCACTTAGCCTTCAGCTATCAGAGCAAAGGACCTCCTTTTGAGCCTGCAGAGTCTAAGGTCCTTGGTGTCCTTGCTGACTTGCGCTCTCTCTGCACGGTCGGATTGCAGCGTATCTTTTACCTGAAATTGGAAGATTTGGTGCCACCCCCTTCCATTATCGACAAGCTGTTTCTGGACACCTTACCATTCTGAGAATCAGATTTGCCTTCAAGAAAGGTAACTGTCTATCTAAGTGGGCATAGAGATTGGAATTTACTGCTAACAACGTTCCTCTCATCTAACAGTGTGGGAAGCCGTTCCAACACTAAGCTGTGGACTTTTCCTAATGCATTTCCTTGCAAAGTGAGGCCTAAAACCTAACTTACATTTCTGAAGATAGCAGATGGGGAGTTGGATGCAGTTTTGTTTTGCTTTTAATAGCTAAATATGGCACTTTTGAATGATATTATCCCAGCTAGAAGAAGGTGTTAATATGACTGTTTTAACTCTATTGCATAGCATCTCATCACCTTTGGTGAGTAGAAAATTGTAGACGCTACATGTGTGAAAACTGAAACAATAACAAATTGTTCATCCAAGTAGTGTGTATTTTATAGTTTGGACTTTTCTCTTACTCCCCTTGCCAAAGGCATACATTAAAATGCTTTCTCTCACGACTTCCCCGTCCCAAACAACGTTCATTCACTATTTCCTATAAATCAGATATAGCAAAAAGACAATGGCTGTTAGCTCCCAATCTCAAGTGCAATTTTAACGTGCTGTCTTAATAAGTCTTGTTTATTAACTATAATTTATTTTAATATGAAAAATGAAAATAATAGATATAGAAGTGAGTGAGGAAAATGGTTTTACATGCATTAACTTCCAGGACAAAGTTTCTCAAACTTTGAATCAATGTAGCATGACTCACAAGCGTAAGCGTTACAGCAAGGAACCAGAGCCAGTTGTGAGAACCTCGCAAATGTTGGCTGAATTAAGTAAATAACAACGTACAAGGGGTATTTTTTTAAGTAAGGTCCGTTTGAACATAAGTACACAACGAAAGTTTATTTCAATAAAGTAAATTTATTTTCAGAAAGCACATACTTCACTCTATTTTTCGACATAGTTGCCAAGTTTGTTCAAACACTTATCATACCTCTGAACCAATTTTAAAATACCCTCTTCATAAAAACTTGCCGCCTGCTCCGATAACCAAGAGTTCGCTGCCGTTTTCACGTCATCGTCATCATGGATGTTGTCACGGCCATCTTTGAATTGTCGTACCCACTTACGCACTTTGCTTTCACTCATAACAGTATCACCGTACACTTCACAAATCTGTCGATGAATTTCTGCAGCAGGCAGGTTCCTTGCTGACAAAAACTGTATCACTGAGCGAACCTCACATGCGGCGGGTGAGTTGATAGTCTTAAACATTTTTAAAGCACAGAACAGAACCGTACAGGTTAGCTACAGAGCGGAAACTGAGCACAGTTGTTCCCGAGGCATGCCGGTACACGACGCACACGCTCGTTGCGGTATGCGGGCGAACTACTAGTGTCTACAACAAAACGGACCTTACTTAAAAAATACCCCTCGTATATTCAATGAAACATATAGGGTCAGCATCAGACTGAGCACTGGGCTTAGCACTGAATTTTGATAATTGGTTAGAAAACAGATATGAGACAGTTCAGGAAAATGAACGTAAATATTGATAGGGAGGGTTTAATGGGCTGTGTTTTAAACATTCCTTGTATGTACTCCCCTTCTTCCCTTTTTGTATGTTTATACTGTTGATGCCATATTAATATGAAGCAATTTGTTGCATAGTGTCTTTATTTGTATAAATATTTGTATGCATGATATATTGTAAAGCTTTGCCTGTATTTATTGCTATGACTGCCAGCTCAAGGGAGCCGTGTTACACAGCGTGACTAAATAGTGTGTTCACACTGACTCAGATATATAATGGGTGTGAGTGTGGGTAGTCTCTCACACACATGCATATGCATGTGTGCATTTTTATTAACTAATTGTACATAAAATCTGTCCTTTCACAAGCAAACCTTATCTTTACTGTTTATTTGCGGTGACTTTTAAGGCAGTACAATTTAGCACTTTGATATTAAAAAAATATTGTTCATGTTTTGCTAAATTAAATAATATTTAAATATTTTCGTTCTTTACAAAAAAAACATTTATATGCACTGTACTAAGTCAAGGTTTCATTGGTCCTTTTGCTAAGAAAAAAAAAGAAAACTTTTTGAATGTCAATCTGATGTCCAGGTATTTTTTTTTGTTAGCTTTAAACAATCTACAGTAATTTTGTCCTTTTTAAAATAACCATGTTGTTTATATGGAATTTAAATCATATAATCCAGTATATGCCAAAACTAACTGCCTAGTAGCTGCAGTGAATAATCTAGCTATCAAGCGATTATCTGGTTTTCAAAAAGTTGCTTGATTTGATCATTTCTTATGTTTGGACATCTTGGGGGGAGTGGATTTATTCTTCTATCAGAATTAGTAATAGTGTCAATAGGGAAACAGGCTTCTAATCAGTATAGCTAATAATTTCAATTTACCTACAGATAATATTTGAAAATGTATTGCTTTTTATATTGACTGTATGTGCAAACAGAATATCATAATTAAATATCAGAGGAAGCTGTTTTTTTCCCCCTGCAGGTTGATCTCACTTCCTGACCTGCAAGGCAAACATGTTTTGATTTTAATTTAAATTTTTGTACAAATTGTGTACACAATCACGACTGAATTTGAAAAGCTATGCCAGTGTTTTTACACATGTGCAAACGGCATAATCATCATTAACCCACTGGAGTGAATACAAACTTTGGTTATTGATTTGGTTCATGTTTCAGTAGTTCTAGTAGAACATCATCTTTCTTTGACGAAACGAAGTCCACAAGAGGCATGAAAACCCTAGTTCTCACTGAAGTGAATGGAAGCTGAAGATTTGTGATACTTCTTCACACATTTGAGTCCTCAGGTGGAAATTGATGGGCTTTTAAGACATATCAGTTATTGTATTGTCGAAGGCTTTCATGGCCGGAATCACTAGGTTGTTGTAGGTTTTTCGGGCTATATGGCCATGTTCTAGAGGCATTTTCTCCTGACGTTTCGCCTGCATCTATGGCAAGCATCCTCAGAGGTAGTGAGGTCTGTTGGAAGTAGGAAAATGGGTTTATATATCTGTGGAATTACCAGGGTGGACAAAGGACTTTTGTCTGCTGGAGCTAGGTGTTAATGTTTCAACTGACCACCTTGATTAGCATTTAATGGCTTGGAAGTGCCTGGGGGGAATCTTTTGTTGAGAGTGATTTGATGTGCCTGATTGTTTCCCCTCTGTTGTTTTGCTGTTGTAATTTTTGAGTTTTTTAATACTGGTAGCCAGATTTTGTTCATTTTCATGGTTTCTTCCTTTCTGTTGAAATTGTCCACATGCTTGTGGATTTCCATGGCTTCTCTGTGTAGTCTGACATGGTGGTTGTGAGAGTGGTCCAGCATTTCTGTGTTCTCAAATAATATGCTGTGTCCAGGTTGGTTCATCAGGTGCTCTGCTATGGCTGATTTCTCTGGTTGGAGTATTCTGCAGTGCCTTTCATGTTCCTTGAATAATTTGTCATCCGCAAACCAGATCAACAATTGGGTCACACCGTCTACAGAAAACCCACACACACAGATAGATATCTACATAAAAACTCCAACCATCACCCAAGTCAAAAAAGAAGCACCATTAAAGCCTTGGCAGACCGTGCAAAAGAATCTGCGAACCCCACCTCCTCCAAGATGAACTGAACCACCTAAGCTGGGCTCTACAGGCCAATGGATACTCCACCTCAGACATCAGAAGAGCTGCAAGACCAAGAACAAGCCACGAGAGTAAAGATGAAGATCCACCCAGAGGAAAAGTGTTCCTGCCATACATCAAGGGAACCACTGACCGCATAGGGAAGCTGATGAGGAAACACAACATACAAACATCTACAAACCCACCAAGAAAATCCAACAAATGCTACGTTCAGCACAGGACAAGAGGGATCCTCTCACCTCTGCAGGAGTCTACCGTATACCATGCAGCTGTGGAAAAGTCTACATAGGAACCACCAAATGCAGCATTGCCCAAACACGAATCAAGGAACATGAAAGGCACTGCAGACTAACTCAACCAGAGAAATCAGCCATAGCAGAGCACCTGATGAACCAACCTGGACACAGCATATTATTTGAGAACACAGAAATGCTGGACCACTCTCTCACAACCACCATGTCAGACTACACAGAGAAGCCATTGAAATCCACAAGCATGTGGACAATTTCAACAGAAAGGAAGAAACCATGAAAATGAACAAAATCTGGCTACAGTATTAAAAAAAACTCAAAAATTACAACAGCAAAACAACAGAGAGTAAACAATCAGGCACATCAAATCACCTCTCAAAGAAAGATTCCCCCAGGCACTTCCAAGCCATTAAATGCTAATCAAGGTGGTCAGTTGAAACATTCACACCTAGCTCCAGCAGACAAGAGTCCTTTGTCCCTGGTCATTCCACAGATATATAAACCCTTTTTCCTAGTTCCAACAGACCTCACTACCTCTGAGGATGCTTGCCATAGATGCAGGAAACGTCAGGAGAGAATGCCTCTAGACCATGGCCATATAGCCTGAAAAAAACCTACAACAACCCAGTGATTCCGGCCATGAAAGCCTTCGACAATACTATCATAGATTATCTTGGCAAGATTTGTTCAGGGGAAGGTTGTTCTTGCCTCCTGAAAAAAAATTCAGAAACTTGTGTTACAGTTCATGTACTCATGCTTTGGTGTTCCATGGATTATGGGTTTAAAAGAGGATGATTATGGTGGGCATTCTTGTTGCCGATGGAATTTTATTTTATTTTTAGCATTCAGAAAAAAAGATCTTCATGTAATACAACTGTTGATAAATCTCAAGAAAAAGAGAGACAGAACGATTCCAAGTTGATGAATCTGTTCCTTTTCTGAGACTTCTTAGTGTGCATATATGTCTTGTTTCATGGGCAAAAAAAAAATCAGGAATATTACAGCTATTAAAGGAGAGTGCCTTGCTTTTATTTCAGGCGGAGTGCTTCGTTCAGACGTTCCTTGGCTCCTCTTAACATCAGTGAGAGAATGCGTGGATGTGTGTAAGAGAGGGATGGAGGGAGGGAATGTGTGTGCATGAACATGAGCAAATGAGTTAACCTGTAGGGCTGAAGAAATGCCTGGTACATATCCAATGTAAATTAAAGTGATTAAATTGAATGACATTTTTCTCCGAGGCCCCATGTGTTTTGAGTAAGTATGCTTAATTCTGTTAATGTCTGATGTGAATTTTTTATCTCCGAGAAAACATTAAAAATGTATCTGCTCCCGTACTAAAAGTGGGAACATGCTTGGGATCACTGAAAAATTGATAGCAAGAACTTGGATGGCATATCCGGAAGACTGCTTATCTTATCAGATAACTGCTTACAAAAGTGGTAGATAGGTTTATCCACAGTACCTTCTTTCTGACATAGGGTCTTACTAAATACTGTAGTGCAAACAGTATATAATATCAGAGAGCCACGGATGGTATCTGTTCGGCTTGGACGGTTTCGTTCGTTAACTTCGTAATTCGTTATTAATTCGTATTTAAATTAGCTTACGATCCAATATTGAGCCATGCAGGAATAGTGTGAGGAGTAAATTAGATTCAAAACAATTTTTTCAATTTATTTCGTAATTATTTCGTAATTATTTCGTAATTATTTTCGCATGTCTGGTGCAAGTTTTATAGTTGTTATTTGTTTTATCACACCAACAGTCAACAACAGAGGGAGAGGGAAGCTTCAGAAGTTCCTCCTGTCCCATTTGGAGGTTTTTTTAGCATATTGCGCAATCGCGTCCGCCATTAACGAATCGATTCATAATTTTACGAAATTTCATATATTTCGAAATTTTTAAAAGGAAAATTTTGGAATTATTTAAAAAAACGAAACGCAAGGGCCCCCTAAAAACAAAACGAGTTTAGAACCAAATTTTTCCGTGGTTACCCAAGCCTAGTATCTATCTTTTTTCCTTCCATTTACCAGCCTGGCTCTTCTGCTTCTTATAGTAACCTATGTAAAGTTTGTTCTAGAATGTGCACCTGTCATTTAAGGAACCAATCAGTAAAGGTGGACTTGAAGAAAAAAGAAACGCGATCGCAAACCTGGGATAGATGAATGTGTTTTGTTTAATAAAACTACGTTAGTGTTTGAAATGACTAAAAGTGTCTGAACAATTCTTAACAAGCAACAATATAATGCTAAATCGGTTAGATTGCCCTGCCATGTTTTCTGCAACACAAAACATTCTTGGCTTTTGCATATGTCCTAGAAGTCTGTGTTTTATAGTTTGATCCTGTTTCAACCCAGAGCAGGAAACTGGACCCTCAGACAACAATCCACCACACTTGACCTCAGGAAAAGAATCGTTCTTTATTGATGAAAGGTGAATACAAAATAGAAGAAATATGCAAAGGTAAAAATCAGCAACATGAAATGTCCACAAACAAGATCATAAAACCCACAGCAAAACTGCTG